ACAAGGATGGAACGACAAAACAACTGCAGAAATAAAGACATATGTACACCCTTCATTCAACCAGTTCTGGACCAGTCTTTTAGGGACCGGACCGGAACCGAACCAGACGCGCCACTTAACATTCCTAAAGTTACGTATTTTGGGCTCAAACATAGTTTGATGTGGTAGAATTTGTATTACCGGGGATTTTATTAGATTTGGTAAAATTGATTTTCAAATTATTTAGTTACATTAGTACATAATTTGGGTACATTGTGATTAAATCTTCTATTGTTGCTTGGCAAATATATTTTGAGTTTGTCAATGGTCGCACTTTAATTACGCCGAATGTTTGGTCAATAGAATTTTCATCTTGTACGATTCTAAATCTAAATGTTTGGAATTTTATTCTGTTGTATGCTGATGGTGTATCAAATAGTCGTTTAAGCGTGGGTATGGATCCTAATGTTGCGGCTATTGAAGGTTGTTGTAGTTTGTCGAATATTATAGTATATCTTCTTTTAGAATAATTTCTAATTTTTTGTTCTACTCTATGTTTGATATTGTTAAGTTTGGATACTTCTTTTACAAGTTCTTTTTTGTAATTTTTTAATTGGTAAATATCTTTTGGGTTTATTGCTTCGTATTGTTTATGTATTAAAAGGTCTACTTGTTCATATGTTAATGTTGGTAGATTCAGTGCTTCAAATTGTGATTCATCTTCTGAATCTAGTTCTTTTTCTTTGTCATGCTTTAGTCGCATTAGCATGTCGTAGTTTTCTATTAAATAAAATATGCTATTGAGTTGTACTTGTAATTCAGGTGTAGGTATTATGTTATTAACTATTTCTGCTTTAGTAAAATAGCTCCAGTCGGAATGGGTTTTTGGTTCCATTCGCATTGCGATTTGGTTGAATGAAGGGTGTACATATGTCTTTATTTCTGCAGTTGTTTTGTCGTTCCATCCTTGTGGGTTTCCAGGTGGATAGCAGTTATAGCCTACTTTTAGTAGTTTTTCTTGGTAAAGTAGTATTCCAGTTTCTTCAAAGGTTTCTCGTATTATTATTTCTTCAAACGTTTCATCAGGATTGTTTTGTTTTCCTCCAGGTAGGTTATACCAGGAGTAATACTTTTTATCAGGATTTATCCTTTGGGATAAATATATTACTAGTATTTCTTGGATATTCTAATCAAATATTGCTATTTGTGCAAATTTAATATTTCTTCCAGGTTGGATTGTATTTTGATGTTTTTCCATTTCAAAGGTTGTGAGATGGTGGTATTCCTTCTAGTAATTGAAATGTATAGAATCTATGATTTTCTTCTGAGTTTTTATCAAAAGGATTGTGTGCTTCTAGTCCGTGATTCCAGGATAGATATTGTGTTTCTTGTATTAATACATTGTAATATATAGTATCTATTTTTGTTATATACCCTTTTGTTGTTTCGGGTATTTGCTCTTTGAATATATTATTTAGTTCTTCAAATAATATTTCTTCTAGGTATCGTGTATGAGCACGGTCTTTATTTTCTTGTTTAGTATAAATATTGTCAAATATAACCGTTTGCTTGTTTTGTATGTTAATAATTCTTTTTGTAAGATTGAATACTTCAATAGATTCTTCTAAATTATCTATTGTTAAATGAGTATTATGTTCTTCTTGAAATTGTTGGACGTATATGTTTCTTTGAGTTTTATAGTACTTTATTACTTCTTCAACTTGTTGTAATAATTTTGATTTCTTGGTATAATATATTGAATTGTATTTTTGTTTTTCTGGTATATGTGTTTTTAATATTTCTTCTTTAATTTTTATCCAGTGATATTCGTCGTATAATATTTTAGGTTCGAATATTAAACTATTTCCTATTAGGTGATTGTTATGTAATATTTTTGTTTCAGATGATCGTAAAGAGTATAGTTCTGAGTAGTATTCTAGATTTTTTTTTTTTTTTTTTTTTTTTTACCTTCGCAATATCGTGAGAAGGCGGATTTTATTAGGTATTTAGATAATACATTCTTGGTTACCCTATCCTGTACTATCCACCACAATCACGCCGTCCTATAATCTCGTGCTGCTTCATAACCTATAGCAGAAGTGTTCTCTAGCTGTTTTGTTCTTACCGGTTTTTCCTAACGTTTTAACTATACTATAGGTCTTAACTGAAGACCACCCAGATCGACA